TATGGGGGAATTTGATAATGATGTAATTGCACTTATTTGCACCCTTAGTTCTTATCCGTTTGAGGGGCATAGTCGTGTATTTTTGGCCTATTTTACGCCGGGTTGTGCTACTTTGTCATATTTCAGGTCCCAGGCGTCAAAGGAAAGGCTAAGCACGAGTTTCGGGGCATACGGAAGTCATTCGGTCGAGCTGGAGCCAAAACACGGGCACGCCAAAATCAGAAAACGGCCGTGTTCCTAGACCGTGCTTTTACTGCCGAGACTTGATCTGAGTTTGGAAAACACTAGCTCAAAACACGGGCAGGGCTGAGACAGAACACGGCCGTGTCCACCAAAAGCACGCCCGTGTTTCTCCTAACAGTATGACCGTGTAATTAACACTTGGCAAAGCACGGGCAGGCTAGAGCAAAGCACGGCCGTGCCCTCGACCGTGTTTTGCCCAGTGATGCCCTTTTAAGCAGATTTCAGCCAAAAGAGAGGGGGATTCGAGTTTTAGAGAGACAGAGCGATTCCTAGAGAGAGAAAGCGACGAGCAAGAGTTCCCAAGTTCCCTAGCTTGATCTTCATCACCATTGGATCTTGGCTTGAGCTTGGAGAAGTGCCGATCAACGTCCAGGAGCAGGAATCCATCCTTCACAGTATGAATTCCGCGTCTGATTCTGCTTTTGCTTCTTTCTCCATGGAGTAGTTCTCCCATTCATCTGGGTATGGAGAACCCTAGATTTGTATGTTAGGTTTGATTGTATGAACCCAAGTACTGATTCTATGATTTGATTATATTCAATTGAGGTTTGAAAGATTGAATGGCATGAATCCTGATCAAATTCCTGTTGTTTCTGCTTTAACCTAGAATGAGAATATCTGCCTAGGTTGATAGAGCATCCTTGATTGAAGGTAGGGAGTTGGTGACTTTAGTCGAGGAGCCAACTCACTATTCTATACCGAATTCACTTCGGTAGTGGAGCTTTTGTTCGTAGGGCCTCAATCTGTTTACTCCAGTGGAGGTTAGTCGCCCGCTAGAGACTCAGATTGAGAGGGTCTGAAGACCTTTAGTCGAGACTTCAGGCTGTTTAAGAACCTTCCGCAGTATAACTTTCATAGAAACTGAACTTGGTAATTGCAATCCGGCTTAACTGCAGTCTAGGGGGAACCATATCCGGGTGACCTCTCTTAACCTGAAAACAACCGTTTAGTTGCTTTGTTTGTTTGTTAGTTTAGACTTGCATTAAAGTTTCATTGCTAGATAACAAGAATTCACCGAGTAGTCATCAAATCTAGGACCCGGGTGGACATTAAAACCCAACCCGCTATACTACGCTAAAGGAGGAGGAGTTAATTTGGTTAGCAAGAAAGGCCCAAGGAGCACTTGCACAGATGGAGGATTGGACGTTGGAACACGTCAGGCGTGAGGGCAACGCGCATGCCGACGCATTATCCAAGTTAGCCACCGCCATGGACTTTGAGGGCGAGAGACAAGTCATAGTAATGAAGGAAGTGGTCGTCGTAGTGTATTCAGCAGGCGCGAGCCATCAAGATTGGAAAAGCCAGTTGTTCGGATTTCTTGAACGTGAAGAGATACCAGGAGATGCGGCGGCGGCCAAAACCCTGCGTCGGAAGGCCACTCGGTACACTGTGGTGGGGCGAGAATTATATAAGCGTTCCTTCACAGGCGCTTACTTGAAGTGCTTAGGAAGCGAGGAGGCGGAGGAAGCCCTAAAGATGATCCATATGGGAACTTGCGCCACCCATATCGGCCCAAGAAGCCTCGAAAGAGCTGTCCTCTTACAAGGATATTATTGGCCCACTGTGAAGAATGATGCTCTCAAGATGGTGCGCGAATGTCACGCATGCCAAGCACACGCGGATAAGCACCACCATCCCGCCTCCGGAATGAAAGGAATCGTAAGCCCCTGGCCTTTCGCGAAGTGGGGTCTAGACCTTCTAGGACCTTTCCCTAACGCGCCGCTGGGCAAGAAGTATTTGGTGGTAGTCGTTGACTACTTCACCAAATGGATAGAGGCTGAACCTCTTGAAGCAATCACCAGTGCTCGGGTACAGAAGTTCCTCTTCAACAACATCCTGATACGCTTCGGAATTCCCGAAACTATCGTAACGGATCACAGAGCGCAGTTTGATTGTCGCCCGTTTGAGAAGTTCTATCAAGAGTATGGTATAAAGCTCAGCCTGGCGTCAGTGGCGTTCCCGCAAGCGAACGGACAGGTGGAATCGTCAAATAAGCTGATCCTGCGAGGTCTAAAGAGGAGGCTGGGCGAAGCAAAGGGAGCCTGGACGACCGAGCTTCCCCATATCCTTTGGGCTCATAGGACCACGCATAAAACTGCAACGGGCGAAACACCATTTGCTCTCACTTACAGATGTGAGGCGGTCATTCCAACGGAAACGCAACGGCCAACACTCCGCATCTGAGCTTACGATCTAGAAGAAAACCATGCTAACTTACTCCACCAGCTGAACATGACATAAGTGAGGCAAGAGGCGGCTCTGACTCGCACAATTGTGGAAATGGAAAAGGTGGCGAAAGCATTCAATAACAAAGTGCGTCCTCGACCACTGGAGGAAGGGGATATGGTGCTTAAAAGAATGTTCGAGAAGAGGGAGAAAGAGAGGCATCGAAAGCAGGCAGCAAACTGGGAAGGTCCATACCTCATAAGCGACAAAATCGGTTTGAGCACCTACAAGCTCGCCACCATGGGCGGGGAAGCCGTAATCAAGATGTGGAACGCACTGCACTTGCGCAAGTATTATTCGGTGGAGTAAAATGTAATCTTATTTCAGTGTTCAATGCATGCATCTTCGTAGTTCATTGCAACATGTCTCCGAATGGGTTATTCCTAAAACGCTACCACGAAGAAGAATAACCCGCCCGCGACATGCCTTGAGGGGCAGGGACTCACTCCTAACACGCCACCCCGAAGGCGGAGCGAGATCCTAAAAACGCATCCCGAGACATGGGTTATTCCTAAAACGCTACCACGAAGCAGAATAACCCGCCCGCGACACGCCCTGAGGGGCAGGGACTCGCTCCTAACACGCCACCTCGAAGGCAGAGCGAGATCCTAAAAACGCATCCCGGGACATGGGTTATTCCTAAACGCTACCACGAAGCAGAATAACCCCTCCCGCGACAGGCCCTGAGGGGCAGGGACTCGCTCCTAACACGCCACCCCGAAGGTAGAGCGAGATCCTAAAAAACGCATCCCGGGACATGGGTTATTTCTAAAACGCTGCCACGAATCAGAATAACCCATCCGCGACACGCCTTGAGGGGCAAGAACTAGCTCCTAACACGCCACCCCGAAGGCAGAGCGAGATCCTAAAAAACACATCCCAGGACATGGGTTATTCCTAAAACGCTACCACGAAGCAGAATAACCCGCCCGCGACACGCCTGAGGGGCAGGGACTCTCTCCTAACACGCCACCCGGAAGGCGGAGCGAGATCCTAAAAACGCATCCCGGGACATGGGTTATTACTAAACGCTACCACGAAGCAGAATAACCCCTCCCGCGACACGCCTTGATGGGCAGGGACTCGCTCCTAACACGCCACCCCGAAGGCAGAGCGAGATCCTAAAAAACGCATCCCGGGACATGGGTTATTCCTACAGCGCTACCATGAAGCATAATAACCCCTCCCGCGACACGCCCTGAGGGGCAAGGACTCGCTCCTAACACGCCACCCCGAAGGTGGAGCGAGATCCTAAAAAACGCATCCCGGGACATGGGTTATTCCTAAAACGCTACCACGAAGTAGAATAACCCGCCCGCGACACGCCTTGAGGGGCAGGGATTCGCTTCTAACACGCCACCCCGAATGCGGAGAGAGATCCTAAAAATGCATCCCGGGACATGGGTTATTCCGAAACGCTATCACGAAGCAGAATAACCCCTCCCGCGACACGCCTTGGGGGCAGAGACTCGCTCCTAACACGCCACCCCGAAGGTAGAGCGAGATCCTAAAAAACGCATCCCGGGACATGGGTTTTTCTAAAACGCTACCACGAAGCAGAATAACCCGCCCAGTCACGCCCTGAGGGGCAGGGACTCACGCCTAACACGCCACCCCGAAGGCGGAGCGAAATCCTAAAAATGCATCCTGGGACATGGGTTATTCCTAAACGCTACCACGAAGCAGAATAACCCCTGCCGCGACACGCCTTAAGGGGCAGTGACTCGCTCCTAACACGCCACCCCGAAGGCAGAGCGAGATCCTAAAAAACGCATCGCGGGACATGGGTTATTCCTACAGCGCTACCACAAAGCAGAATAACCCCTCCCGCGACACGTCCTAAGGGACAGGGACTCGCTCCTAACACGCCACCCCCGAAGGCGGAGCGAGATCCTAAAAAATGCATCCCGGGACATGGGTTATTCCTAAAACGCTACCACGAAGCAGAATAACCTGCCCGCGACACGCCTTGAGGGGCAGGGACTCGATCCTAACACGCCACCCAGAATGCGGAGCGAGATCCTAAAAACGCATCCCGGGACATGGGTTATTCCTAAACGCTACCACGAAGCAGAATAACTCCTCCCGCGACACGCCCTGGGGGCAGGGACTCGCTCCTAACACGCCACCCCGAAGGCAGAGTGAGATCCTAAAAAACGCATCCTGGGACATGGGTTATCCCTAATCGCTACCACGAAGCAGAATAAACTGCTCCCAATACCCCCGCTCAGGAATACCCCACATAATGAGAACAACACGCGTACCAAAATAATGATAATTAGGAAGCATAAAAGGCCGCATTCAAGCGGACAATGTCAAGAGTGCAGAAAAACAAAGTTACAGGCAAGGTTCACAGTCGAGGACACACTCGACTCCAAAATAAAGGTAGTAAACACAACACTTTAAGAATTGCCTCCGCCCCGCGAGCTTGCTTCATCGCCTCCAGCCGACACCGTTAAATCATTCTCAGAATTGACGTCACCTTCGGAGGAGCCCCAAGCTACCACCGCATCCCACACGGCGTCTGTATCCTACTCCAGATCAGGATGCTCACGTCGGAACAAATGTCGGATCAAAGCCACCGTATCAGCAATCACTTTGGAGCGTTTGGCATCATCAATCTTACGGAAGGCGGGAGACAACAGGTAAGAAGCAACCGCCGACTTGGCCGCAGCATCAACTTCAGTCTTTTGCCTAAGCACACTCTTTGCCTGAGCCGTCTCCAGTTCATCCACGCGTCCGCGCAGTCGATACACATCCGCTTCCAATATCTCCTTGTCAGCCATCAAGCTGTTCACTTTCTGGACTCCCCGGGACAGATTTGCACGGAGATCCTTAAGGACGTCAGCATGCTCCTTCTCCAACTCCGCTTTGGCCTCCGCCCGAAATGCAGCTCGCCCCTTGAGTTATTCCGCCTCCAGCTCTCCAATCCGCTTCCGCAGCTTCTCCGCTTCCATCTCACCGCGCAAGTTGGCCGTGTGGAGCTTCTCGTTGGTCATCCCGATTTGGGACAAACCAACACCCGCCTACGATAACAACGATTTTTCGCGTCAGGGTTTATCAAAAGCAGAAGTTAACAGATAAGTGGAGGTGCTTACCGCAAGAAGAAAGCGGGCAGCGGTCCCCACCCAGTGTTTAGTCGAAGGATCCTCAGCCTCAGTATACTCAGGCGGGACAAGCAGTTTCCCCGATAATTCATGAAGCATTCGGCGGGCGCAATCTTCTCGCAGTGAGGAATGGGGGAAAAAATCCACAGTCTCAGTCAAAGAGGTCGCCTTCGTCTTCTTTCGGCCCTCATCATGTTCATCCGCAGGACTTTCAGCAATCCGCTTCCCAACGTCGCGAACCTTGCGCGCTGTCTCGGCACTAACCTGCACAGTCATCAGTCCACCCGCTCCACTTGCAAGCGTGGTCTGACCCATTGCCGTGGGAGGCTTACTCAGAGGAATCAGCGACTTTGACAGAGCGGCCGCGCTAGCGGAAGGACCAGGCTTCGTTGGGCCTTGAGAAGCGGCCCCCACCTTCAGGGCGGTGAGTTTCCCTCGCCTTGGGGGCCTAGCCATCATCGCCACGCTCCCTAAATGCATGGTTGCAAACAACAAAAAAGGGGGGAGTCAGAAACACAAAATACAACACTCAATTATAAAGGGGAAGCAAGTCAATGACGCTACTGACCATCTCTGAAGAGTTCAACCAAAATTGACCTCACAGAATCAGTTCCCCCAGGCTTCACATTAAAAGGAGAGAAGTCAGCAAGACGGGTGGCGTGATCCTTTTGGGAGTCCAGAGTCCAGAGCTTCGCATCCCAATTTTCCTTCCAGCCGTAAGCGTAGCCCGTCCTAGGTTCTTTGTCGCCCGAGTACCATTTCGAAGTAGGCTTGGCGTAGAAGAAATCCCTGAACCAAGCATTGTCAAGCTTCGGTGACCCGGTCACAAACCCATACGCCTTGTCTCCCCTCCCGAAGGACCAGATGTTGGAAACCCGCCGAAGGCCGTATATAAAGTGGAAAGCGGCAAATGACGGTTCAACTCCAAGTCTCTGGCACGCAAGTTTGTAGGCACAAGGGTGAAAAATGACGGTGGGCGACAATCGACCAAGGGTGCAATTCAAGCACAGGAGCGTTTGAGTAATAATGGGGTCAAGAGGGAAACACAAGCCCAACTTCAGCTGCTCGGTATATATGGTTATCCATCCCTTGGGGCATGTACCCGCTCTGGAGGTCGAAGACGGGGCGGCGTATTTCCAATTGGTAGGGAGCTGGTAGTTTCTAAGGCGGGTGAGGATGGTAATAGGCGTCAACCTACTGTACCTGTCGGGCCCTCGATCAAATGCGCGGGCGGGTACTTCCCGTTTCCTCCACATGTGCTCGTGTAAGCGTATGGAGTACGTATTATCCGCCACCGCTCGGTAGTCCTCGCCCGTATGGAGTCAGGCATCTCGGGCGAATTTTGCTCATCAATACTAAGCCCCTCGTCAGAACTTACGCTCGTTATGGAGACGTCATCAAAACTTAACAGGTTATCCCCCATGGTGGAAGCGTCTCCCCTAGGTGCTACATTCTTTACGCCTAAACCCAAAGCAACATCGGTCAATTCATACGACCCGTCTCCAACCCTACCCAGCAAATACCGGCCGTCATCCGACCAAGAGCCACCGAAATCAAAATCTACCCCGCTAAAATCCCAGTCAAGATCGGACGTACTTAATGGCGATAAAACATTCAGATGGAGCATACCTTGAGCGGCGGAGGCTATGGGATCCGTAATCGTGTTCGATGAATCTAGGTTGATCGGCAGAAGGGCGGGGACAGCTGGCAGGGCGGCGGCGGTACCGCCAGGAACATGAACGGCGGCGAGGGCGTCGGCGGACAATTTCCTCCGACTCGGCGAAGATCCAGAGCCGACAGACGGTGGCGGGTGGGAAGAACCATCTCCTCCAGTCATTGTCAAAAACACTGAATTATGAACTGATCACAGGGGGCTAAGAGAGTACAGAGAGGAAGTTACAACAGCGACGATGATCAAGAAAAAAGAGACACCAGGCAAATAACAGATGAGAAGCAGAGAGAATCAGAGTGTCAAGAGCAAGTGAGAAGGAAAAGAGTACCTTCGTTTGATCCTCCAGAGAGCTTTTAAATGAAAGGGCGCGATTTCCAGAAGTGACGGTTGAGAAACCCTAGGATAGGCTATATAGAGTAATCATAGCAACAACGAATGTCTGACGGCGCGTCACTTCTGCTACCTGTTTGGAAACTGTGTCGTCACACACGTGGCAGCAAGGGGATAAGAGCAACCTGAGGCGTGCTGCCCCCGATTTGATGTCTGGGGGGAAGGGTTCTCAGGACGGTCCCTTGATTTAGAAGGCGATCCCGCCCTAGATTCGGAAGGTCAGCGGCCCAAACCCGGAGGCTTTACCCGCCTGCGGGACAATTGTTGGGCCGTTAGGGATCACCGCCTAAATCAAGGCCCATGGAGTAGGAGACGGCCCAAAAGGGGAAAAGGCCCAAAGAAGGCCGAAGTGCGATATGGGTCGACCCAGTGGCCAACGAGCCAGTTGCAAAGCGTCAACGCCTAGGGATAGTACGGTTGGTGGAGCCGGGACTGACAACACATTAAATGCCTCCGTGAGTGTACCTCGTAAAAGGGGTACGAGGTATTTGTCTGACAAGACGTCAGGTGCTTACACCAATGGCCACAGGCTATAAATAAGAGCCAACCACCTCATTTAGTGGTAACTGATTTCACTCTCTCTACTATTTCTTCTCTCCCAATACTGACTTAAGCATCAGAGAGTGTCCCCGGGCCACGCCCCCGGACCCCTTCTGCCGGAAACGAAGTCCTTCCATCTCAAGAGATCAGCAGTCCTCTCATTGGTCTTCACCAAAACCGCCTGGCACTTTCTAGGCGTAAACACTTACCAATGCTACGACTTTGAATTGAATTTTCCTATTTACATATCTCTTACTTTGTTACTTAAATATTAATGTTCCTTTCATATTTCTGTGACCGGATGATAGCGTGAAAACCCTTTAGGGGGGTTGTCAATTTTGATTCCCCCCTTTTTTCGTCCATCCTCCTTCTTCATCCGGCGGTCAGGAGCACAAGAAGGGCTTTTTAGTAAGTTCTTAATTCTAGTAATTTTGAATTACCACTTAAATGCATGGAGAAAATCTTGGAGCGTGATTGGAGAGAGGTGAAGAGTCTGTTTCGGCTGGGACTCTTTCCCATCCATTTTTGGCTTCTTCCTTGTCAAACCAGACCCCTCATCAAACCCGGCATCAGTAGCTCCGGAAAATACCAACGACGCAGCCGCTGCCATACAATGGACGACTACATCAGCAACGACGACGACAGAAAATAGGGTGGAGTTGAACCTAGTTGTTTATTCGGCTTTGACCTGAACATCCCATTGACAAGCAACGACGATAATATATATGAGATCCGAGTTGAGCAGTCGGACCCGACAGAGAATGGCGATGATGGCGACGTTTTGGACGTGGAGGAGCTGGTCAACGAAGACCATCCGGAACGGGAAAAAAGCACAGACAACGTCCAATATGGCATCGACGTGGAGAACAACGACCATTTTGTACCGCAATCAGGCGATCACGTACCATCATCCGTAGTAATCTAGTGGTACTCTCTTAGTGGTAGTCATTTGGTCGTAGTGATTTAGTGGTACTTCCCTAGTGGTATCAACCATCATCCGTAGTAATTTGATAAATAGTTCGATTTGCTAATGCATATGTTCTTTATTTATGGGTTTGGTATCAACCATCATCCCATCAGACATTTCAACGTGGAATCACCTGCGTTTCCAGAATCAGGATGAATTTATATGCTTTTACAAGATTTATGCTCATGGAAGAGGCTTCTCGTCGAGAGTTGCTACCAGACTTAATAAAAGTAAATAGTGGCATTAATTTGGTACCAGTTGTATTAATAGTACCAGAAGAACAAACTGAAGAGAAAGCAGCCATATGCGTGACTTAGTGAGAAATTGGTAGTGCACCTTATTGGCTTTCTTGCACTACCAGTGTGGTTCCATAGATGATTCCACAACTTTTAAGTATGACATGGGTTTGTTTAGACTTTCCATATGTGTCTGCACGGTTTTTGACTTGAGGTGAAATTCAAGGTGACTTCCCATAAGGTCACCCATCCTTTTTGTACTCCGTACTGAGCACGTTTAACTTCGGAGTTCTCAGAAGAACTCCTCCATTACACCCCAAAACGCCTCTTGTCAGTTAAGGCCGGTTTACTACGACCAAAGTTATTCGGGTTCAAAAACAAATCGCTACGATCGGATACCCGAGTGCAAAGTTACGTTCGTTTGAAGTTTCGGCCGAAGTTAGGAGTTGATCGAAAAAAAAATTTTGGACCAAACCGCAGGGTGGGGTGGCGGTTTGGCCCAAAACCGCCGCCCCATAGCCCAGCGGTTTGCATAGAAAACCGCGCCCCTGCCCTGCGGTTTTCGTGTAAACCACAGGGTGGGGTGGCGGTTTTTGAAAAATGTGGTATTTTTGGAATTTTTTGGGGTTGGATGGTATTTTTGGAATTCTTTTTTTAAACAGTGGTATTTCTGGAAAAAGTCCTTTAACTTCGGAGTTCTCAGAAGAACTCCTCCATTACACCCCAAAATGCGTCTTGTCAGTTAAGGCCAGTTTCCTACTTATGAACCATGGATCTCTCCTGTGCTTTGTCGATGTGGGATTTGCTTGAGGTGTTACAATTTGATTCCTAGAAGTACTTCGTTTTTTTTTTCAAACCCTTTGAAAATTACATGTGTTTCCAGTTTAGGTTACAACTCCTAATAGCACTGCCATATTTGTTTCATCTGAGAATATCATTGAGCAGTGGCGGAGCCAGGAATTTAGGTAGGGGGCCGATAAAATTTTTGAAGTAAGAGTTTATTATGTTATTTATTGTTCAACACAAATTATTAATATATTGACACACAGAAGTCTATTTTTAACAAGTAGAAGAGCTTTGTATAGAAAGGTTGGGGATGAGAAAGTCTGATACAAAGTAAGACAATGGGCAAAAAGTCAAAAACACTACTAAAATGGAAAACTTAGGTACCAAATTGTAAGGTATGCGAAATTTGGGACAAAAGGTGTACTAAAATGAAAACATTTGATACAAAATCGGACATGCATAACTTGGGATTAAGAAGTAAAATTTCATTAATTTAAATGATTCATGCAAATTTTAGGTACCAAATCGTAAGACAATGGGCAAAAAATGTACTAAAATGAAAAATTAGGTACCAAATCATAAAACATACAAAATTTGAGGTTAGGAAGCAAAATTTTACAAAATTAAAACTTGCAGCTAGCAACCGTCGAACCTTGGACCTCCCATCTAAAATCAAATGTCACACACCGCTAGAACACAGCTTGTGTTATGTATTATTTGTGCAAAGTCAGATTTTAATATTTTAGTACATGAGGAGGGACCATATCAGGTCAGTAACTCTTCTATCAGTAACTGTTAATGGCCCCCCTGCTTACACGCTAGCTCCGTCTCTGTCATTGAGGAGGGACCAGATCAGGTCAGTAACTCTTCTATCAGCAGTCAGTAATCCAATCATCTGTCCCCACGTGTCAGTCTTTTCCTTTAATTTAAATTAAACACGGAGGGGCACTAACGTAAATTGCACCCCCTATTTAATGCCGACGCTGACGCTCTGACGCTGACTTTTTGACCAGATGCGGATTCCACTCCCCACCCCACACTGGTTCCCCTCTCTCTCACTCTTTGTTTTATTATTTAATCCAATAATATCGCTTGGGTCGGGGAAATGGCGAAGTGGGTTTAGGTCGACGATGGAGGAGGAGGAGGGGTTGAGCGAGATTACTGGTTCTGGGTCGGGTTGGGATAATGGTTTGGATTGGGTGTATGACGTGGCGGGTCTAGTGACGTGGCGGGTCGGGTTTGACCATTTCCGGCTCAAACTGGTGCCGATTAGGCGCTTCCGTTAGCCACGTCGGCACATAACGGACTCCATTAACGGAGTTGGACGGAGACTAACGGAGAGTGACTAAACATGACCAGTTTTAGTAATTTGAGTGACCAAATTTGATATTAATGCATGACACAATTTAGTAATCTCAGTGACCAAATGTGGTATTAACCCATTCTAAGTAGTTTAGTTGCCATGGAATTGTGCATTCAAGTCGCCATCAGTGGTGGGTTAAGCCTTGGGAACAAATTTTGGGATTTTGTTGCCACCTCCAATCCTTGTTGTTCAGGGAAATTCCAAGCAGTTGGGATATAGTTTCTGCCAACCCACCATCTTATATTCCGTCCACTGGCCAGTTCTCATTAGAGATCTCACTCAATTAAAACTCATAAATGTCAATTCCTTCCCTCAACACTGTTCCAAATTTATAAGATAACCCAAAAAATAAATCAAAACAACATAGCAGCAAATCAGAACAATGAATCCAGATGATGGGTTGATATCAAATGATACTGGTGGAGGAATCAAGTGGAGTGCGGAGACCTTAACCATAATCGTCTCCGTAGGCCTGTTTGCCTTCTTCTCCTTCTTAGTTGCTCTTGTGACCCTTTGCTGCGCGGATCCTAAGCCCAATAACTCCTCCCTGTCGTCGGCAAAGGCTGCGCGGTCGCCGGAAGGGAAGATCAGCTTTTCGGGACAGACTGAGATTGTTGTGATCATGGCCGGAGAAGAGCACCCAACGCATCTCGCCAAACTGGCGACTCCTCCTACTTCTTGCACTCCTCTGCCTTTGTGAAGAAGTTACAAGTTTTGAGAAAATGGTTTTCTTAACGAAAAATATAACGATTTTAAGGTGGTTCCATATGTGGATTATGTTAGATTTTTTTGTTAGAGTTCGGGTTAGAAAGAAAGAACAGGGCTATCGCCTGTGAGGCTTTGTAACAATTCTGTTTTTGGAATTCTTTAGTTGAATAAGTGACTCTCTTTTAAGAAAAATTCACTCTTTCTTCTCAATGAATAAACATTTGCCATGTTTATTTGTGTTTATGATATAAGCTGAACTTGTACCTTTCGTACAGATAAATTTTTTGCAAAATACATTTGTGTTGAGTTACTAGGTCTCGAATGTAATGAGGCCTTTGATCTATGTAAGGGTTGTGGTCCAATGTTAAGTAACACGTAGTGCTCTCGGCTAGGGTTGAGTGGAGATAGCCGATACATGTGTGTGTCTGTATATATAAATATATGTATATGTAACCTACTGTAATACGTTGAATAGACAAGAAATAAGAGAGATACTACCTGTATGTGGACTAGTCTTGTTCGATCTAATCGAACAAGGAAACCACGTAAATATAGTCTCATTTTGTTCCTAAATTCATTACTATTATCTCTACGTTATGATTATCATGGTATCAGAGCCTAGTTTGATGGATTCGGAGAATATCAACACTCGTCTCAACTTGAAGAACTACTCCCTGTGGGTGTTCCAGTTTCGCAAGTTTATTGAGGGTCAAGGATTTTTTGAGTTCCTTGATGGTACAACTAAGATGATGGTTGTTTTCCCTGTGTGATGGAACAGGATTTGACCAAGTGGGTGCAGTGGGATGCAAAGGGACGATCATGGATTATGAAATCTATGGATCCATCTATTATTCTATGTCTTCGTCTTCTTCCAACATCGCTCGAGATGTGGAAGACCTTGCATGATACGTACGCTACAACCAGCATCGCAAGGCAGTTTGAAGTAGAGGTGGAATTGGCAAATCTTCACTAGGGAGATCACGATGTAATTATGTACTATAATGATGCCAAGCTCCTGTGGACAGAGCAAGATATTCTTGTGGCGGCCATACAATCTAGTTCGGGCTCGGCCGAAGTGCAAGCTAAAAGAAATAAGACACGTACTCTGCAATTCTTGGCGCGTCTTAAGCCTGAGTATGAACCTGTACGATCGAGGCTTATCAATAGAGAGAGCCTTCAAATGGAGTAGGTCTTAGGAGCCTTAATTAGAGAAGAAAATAGATTGCGCACTTAGGCATCAATCGATGCAGGACTGGACCACGGGGACCTCATTGTGTTTGCAGCAATCAATGGAAGTAGCTCGCTTCAGCTGGCATATTCAACTGGGTAGAATCTAACGCCCATGAGAGGAAGTGATAGTCATGGATCCTCAGATGTTGCGTTAATTCGCTGCCTATCGGTCGACCTCCACAACTCGCCGCAAGATTTAATGGCATCATTGTCATGCCTACACAAGAAAAAATATTTTCGTCGTCGCAATTTTTGTGTCTATTGCAAACAAATTGAGCATATAGTTCCTGACTGCCCAGTTGCTCCAGCTCGTAGGCCGGAAAACTATGCTTCTGGAGGTGCTAACAGTGCGCCTCAGGGATCTGCTCCTCACAACACTGGTGGAGGCAACATGTCGAGGCCAGCATATGCAACACAAGTGGCTTTCGGAGCTGAAGGCATCATGGTCACCTCAGAAACTCTCGAGCAGCTAGTCAATAAGACAATTCTTCTGCATTTGCTAGTCTTCAAACATCTAGTAAGCTCCCTTGTTGCATTCTTGATTCCGCTTGCTTTAATCACATGACAAACAAAGTTAGTTATTTATCAAATATATCTCCGGTGAATGATCTATCGTTACAAATTGCAAATGGGTCATGTTTACTTGCTTGGGTTGGTGTAGCTAAAGATGGTGATCTAGAATTACCAAATACATTTTATTTGCCTAATCTTGTGCCTACCTTGGTATCTTTTGGTCAGCTCACTGAAAGAGGTTTTCATTTTGTATTTGCACCGTCTGGGTGCCCTGTTCAGGATCTGAAGACGGGGTAGGAGATAGGGAAGGGTAGATAACAAGGGCGGATTTTTTTAGCTCGACAAGCTAGAAGTAGTGCCATCATCGTCACCATCCTCCTCTTCTCCATAGTCTTCCACGGGTCTCAGGTATCTAGGTTGCCTTTCTCCCCAGTTTTTTTCCAGCCTTGGTGATCACATATTCAATTATGGCATATGAAGCTCAGTCACCCGAACTTGGATTTGGTGTTATGTTTAAGAAATAGTTGTTTGGAAATAAGGTGGCTCATTCGTCGGAGTTTTCTTGCACGAGTTGTGTTGAGGCAAGAACTACTAGTATTTCATTTCCATACAGTCTTACTGTTATCACATAACCGTTTTATTTGATTCATACTGATTTATGGGGTCCCAGTCCTGTCACTTCTCATCATGGCTACAAGTATTTTTCCTTATTTGTATACCATGCTACTCGCTATACATGGGTTTCTTGTTTGCGCCTCAAGTCTGACATTCTCTCTGTTGCTGCAAATTTCTCAAAATTATCCAAACCCAATTTGATAGAACTGTTTGTGTAGTTCGGTCTGATCCAAGTGGAGAGTTTAATTCCACTCCTCTCTTGCAGCTGCACCAGTCTTCTGGTATCCTTACCCTTTCATGCTAAATGTCCTTGTTGAACGTAAAAATCGACATGTGATGGAAGTCACTCGAGCTCTTTTACTAGCATCAGATGTCCCTTTCAGTTTTGGCCTGAAAATGTATCCACTAGCGTTCGTCTTATTAACTATCAAATCACTCTGATTTTGGTTCAAGAGAGTCCATACTACAAGTTGTTTTCTAATCATCCACCTTACGCTCATCTTCGTGTATTTTAATGTATGTGTTTCACCTACCTCGATCTGAACGTACTAAACTTACCTCCAAGTCCGCACGCTATATCTTTTAGGGTTATAGTGACATTTACAAGGGTTCCATATATTACGATCCTAGCTTTTGTCGCATTTGTATCGCATGTAACATGGTATTTTTTTGAAAATGTGATGTATTATTGTGTTAAGCAGGATCCTCGAGCCTGGTTTGACAAATTTCAGTCTACCATTTGGGATTTGGGATTCCTTATGATTCTTAATGACCAGTCTCTCTTTACTCGGCACACTTCTCGAGGTCTAGTGGTTCTGCTTCTATATGTAGATGACATAATTGTCTCTAGTGATGATTCTGAAGGTATTTTTGCTCTTACAAAGGCCCTTCATGACTCCTTTCACTTTAAGGAGCTCGATTATCTCTCTTACTATCTAGGTCTCGAGGTTACCCGCTCCAGTTCTGGTATCCGGCTCATTCAGAAGAAATATATTTATGATCTACTCGAAGCTGCTCATTATAGTGACTGTATTCCGGTGTCTACTCTGATTGGGATTAACTTGAAGATGGGGAGGGACTCTGGTGAACTCTTGGAAGACGGGGGAAACTATATCAAAGTATTGTAGGAAGTCTTATTTATTTGGCTACTACCCGACCTGATATCGCATATGTCGTACAAGTAGTCAGTCAGTTCACGTGGGCTCCTCGCACTGATCATTTGGTTGTTGTACACAAGATTCTGCGCTACCTATAAAGCACTAGGGATGTTAGTCTTTTCTTGCACTCACCCCTATTTGTAGAAGTCACAAAAACATAAATCTCACCTTCTAGGAATAGAAAAACAAATCAAGTAGAAAATGTAATACTAATTAAATAAGGACTAAAACTACTCATTAAACTCTAAATAGCCAAAACAACCAATTAAACAAATAAAATCCAAAATCACTGTTGCGTGTGTCCTCCTCTCCTTTTCCTTTTAAGTTTTAACGGACAGAATTGGCTTGCTGCCACTTGCAATTGCTAGACCTTCATGTGGTAATAATCCATGCAAAGCACAACTTTAATGCCACCACCTCCCATCCCCAAACCAACAAATAATGACCAGAGAAACTTGAATTTAATTACAATTAACCCAATGCAGCTCACGTCACTTTTCACAAACTCATCCATGTAATTAATCCATCTATGCCACACATCCAAATCCACCACACATCCACGTGTTAACCCACGCACGAGGATAATTTGATCCATCAAGACGGCTCTTAATTGAGCCTTATGTCATTGAATTTTAATCTTCATTTTTGGACTACGAGAATTAAATATCACACTAGTCGATATCGCATCCCCCTGCATAATTGATCCACAAGCCATACATCCCCTTTCTTGAATCCAATCTCGCTCCTCAATGCCTCATTCTCGTCTTTTGTTTGTTTGGCTCCATTCAGATATCACATTTTGGGACAACCGTTGCACCAACGACTTCAATTATTTAACTGCCTCTGTATTCCCTAATCCATGATAGTTATAACTCAGTATTTTCATTTATGACATGAAATGGACAGGTTCCCTGCACCATTGAGTTTAGGATCATTATGATTCTATCGCAGCTCAGAATTACATGTTTCTTTCTGGCCTTTAAATCCAACTCCTAACTTCTATCAATCTCCACCACCCTTGCTCTCTGCAGACTTGGTGATAACGTCGTATTTGCACATGTTTGCACCCTCGTTTCTTTATCATTTTGGCTAGATTTTTTGATTTCTTGGACTATTTTACACTAGGTTGTGTTTCTTTGTCACATTTCAGGTCCTAGCATGTAAATTGGAGCAAAGGCGCAAGTTTTAAGTCAATCGGAGATCATTTGGCAATTCGGGAGAAGAAACACGAGCATGACCTGAGGAATAATGGATTTCTACCTCATATTATGGACAAATAATCATGGAATTTTGTCATGAAAAGAAAGAGTACGAGACTACGAGCGTCTGGGATCAAACGGCGACTGATTTGGAGTCCGGACGAGGGAGAAACGAAGCATTAAACAGTGGCGGAGGAAGAATTACGGGCATACCCTAACCAATTACGGTCGTAATTGCTCCTGTCTTGCCCGTAATAGCAATGCCGAGCCTAATTCTTCAGAATTCCTATCGCAGAGACAATTACGAGCAAGAGTCAAAGTAACTACGGGATGTCAAAAAAAATCGTAAAGCGTAGAAGCGGAAAAGGGGTAAAATCGTAAAGCGTAGAATCAGAGCGTAAAATCGTAAGTTTTTGACGCATACTGTAAAATAACTAAAAATATGTTGAGTACGATATATACTATGTAAAATATGAGTGCACAAAATTTGGACAAGTTAATAAATACTTGTAAT